GAACATAGGATTCAGTGAATAAAAATAGAGTTTCATGCCCGTTTTTAGGTGCGTAGCAAGCCTGTGCTGGTTGCTGTTCTTCCGCCAAGTCTTATGTGAACCAGAATGTTCCTTAGTGTCGACCACCTCCTAGGTAATAGCACAAAGGAGAATGAGGCCAGGAGCAGAACCAGACCACAATGGCCAGGCAGATGCTGGGGGAGGAGACGCTGCAGCTTTCCCTGCGCCTTCCTGGTGTTTTCTTTCCTGAGGAATAGCAGCCACACTCTCTGTCTTTGGATCCCAGCCTCACAAAAGTTAGCCAGAGGACCCAAAATGCAGGGGAGATGCGGTTCCCTAGTTGAGAGCCCTGTAACATCTCTCGGGGTGAGCATCTCCACTGTTGGGAGTACCGTCTAGAGAGACAGAGCTCCTGGGGGACTCACAAGATGTGGACCAGGACACCAGGATCAAGGTGGAGGCATGGAGAGGTGCCCAGTCTTCAAAGTAGGGGTGTCGATCAGCCCGGGGGGCTGCCAAATCACTCCTCTCTAATGCCTAAAGCCCCTCACCCGGTCAGGTGTGCCCACCTAGCTCTCTAGCCATGGCTTTAATACCTTTCTTCCTCATACCCCTTGCTCCGACTCCACTGGTTCTCCTCCCTGCTTTTCAACAGAAACGTGCTAAATGCATTCCTTGATTTTTCACTAGTGACTCCCTTTGCCTTCTCTTCCCCCAAATCTTTGCATTTCTGTTTTCCCATAGTTCAGGTTTCAGCTCAAATGTTGCCTGTTGAAAAGCCCTTCCCTGACTATCCGATTCCAGTAGCTCTCACAATGTCACATTCTCCCCCATCACCCTATTTTATTTTCTCTGTAACACTTACTGCCGTCTGAGGCCCTCTCGTCTAGTCTATAAGTTACAGGAGCAGGACCCATGCCTGTCTTTCCCCTGCCTTATCTGCAGTGGCTAGAGCAGCGCCTGGTACACAGCAGGGGTGTAATAAATATTTGTTGAATGATTGAAAGAATGCAAAGTTGTTAGTCATGAACGAGGAGGGCATCCACGTCTTAGAACTTTGCAGTGTGCTGTTGCCAGCTGTGGGTACTGTTGACGGGACACTCACTCGGAGGTTCTGGCTTGGTGCTTCCCCTGGCCCTGGAGAGAACCTGGGACTGTGCTCACGTTCAGCAGTGCTCAGCTGGTAACTTCTTGGGGCAGTGTTCTTCCTCCTGAGGGAAACGCTTCAAGCAGCATCGTGTTTCTGTGATTATTACAGCATGGCAAGCCTCTCATTAGGTGCAGAAGGAAACTTTGGTGCAGGTCCAGCTTTTTCTTCTGAAAAGTAGAAAGGCTCTCTCTATCTTGGAGCAGAAAATCCCAGATCGCCTGGGCTAGAAGGTGCTTTGGACCAATTTTGTTTGTATTCAAGGAATTAAAGTTACCAGCCATCATGATGGTACTTAAGATATGAATCGAGGTAAAAGTGTTTTAAAAAGAAAACAAAACCCAAACTGGCTCGCATGGAAAAGGAACATCCCTTTTCCTTTTGTATGAGTTCAGCATTTCTGTGACCGCACAATTAACGCCTGGCTTTATAATTGAAATCACTTTTAAGATTGTTCAACTGGGCCTGTAATCCCAGCACTTTGGGAGGCCAAGGCGGGCGGATCACGAGGTCAGGAGATCGAGACCATCCTGGCTAACATGGTGAAACCCCGTCTCTACTAAAAATACAAAAAATTAGCCGGGCATGGTGGTGGGCGCCTGTAGTCCCAGCTACTCGGGAGGCTGAGGCAGGAGAATGGCGTGAACCTGGGAGGTGGAGCCTGCAGTGAACCCAGATCGCGCCACTGCACTCCAGCCTGGGCCACAGAGCGAGACTCCATCTCAAAAAAAAAAAAAAAAAAAAAAAGATTGTTCAACTCTTCTATCACTGGTAGTAACCAAACTCTGTACCTGGATGTTTATCGCTTAACTCTTTGCATGTGTGTTTGTTTTTTTGTTTTTTTGTTTTTTGTTTTTTTTTTTGAGACGGAGTCTCACTCTGTCCCCCAGGCTGGAGTGCAGTGGTACAATCTCGGCTCACTGCAAGCTCCGCCTCCCGGGTTCACGCCATTCTCCTGCCTCAGCCTCCCGAGTAGCTGGGACTACAGGCTCCCGCCACCTCGCCCGGCTAATTTTTTGTATTTTTAGTAGAGACGGGGTTTCACCATGTTAGCCAGGATGGTCTCGATCACCTGACCTCGTCATCTGCCTGCCTCGGCCTCCCAAAGTGCTGGGATTACAGGCGTGAGCCACCGCGCCCGGACCCACTTAACTGTTAATGACTCCAATAAAGTCACAAATAACTGTCGTATGAATTGCACAGAGGCAACCTCATCTCTTGATACTGGACTAGAATATTCAGAAAGCGCATTTGCCCTGACGTGGCATTCTGGGAACCAGACCATGAGCACAGACCTGTGGGGAAGCAACCTGTTTTGGTAGAGGAGAGAAAGGGCAGAGCACGGCGTCTCTGCCTCATCAGGGCAGTGCATGCTTTTTGTATGTTTGTTTGTTTGTTTTGACATCCGTGGACATCAGGAAACTGCACATTTAAGAGTACAATCAAGACACCAGTAATCCGGATACCATCCTGCCTGGATAAGGTTAAAATGTCTTATATTTCCATAGGAATGCCAAAGTTTTTCGTTCATGCAGGCGTGTAGGACATTAAACCCCAAGAAAGGCCAAGTCAGATTTCTTAATCCACCCCAAGTGATGAAATTTGAAGTTTGGGTTTATGGTTGGAAAGTGACCGGGTAACAGTAGCACTGACTGACTCAACAAATACGCCATCTCGGGCTCCCAGAGCTGTTGTGCGGACGCTGGTAACAGACCCCTGTGCTTAGCCGTTCAGAACCCACCCTCCTTTGGGAAGGGTAGGGCTGCCAGGAGAACTTAGGCTTGCCTTTGGCATCTCCTGCCCAGGTACCCTGCTCTTACCATGCTCAGTTCCCGAAGTGTGCAGTCCAGGCTCACCTTTGCCGTTTGTTGGCTGTTGACTCAGAGGGAAGCCCCTTGGCTGCTTTTGCTGTTAGGTTTGGATGGTCTGTGTCATTTTAGGCAGCAGCAGGTTCATCACCTTCCACCTCATTGTCTGCAGTGAGTTTTATACCATCATTTAAATCTGACAGGAAGGGAATTGCTTTGCCTCAGTTTACCTCCCTGGACACAGAGGGTTGACTGAACTTTCCCATTCATGAGCTCATCCCCTCACCTATTTCTGAGGCTACTCATTCATGGCTGGGTTCCTTTTTTTTTTTTTTTTTGGTAAAGGCAGAGTTTCAGTACATTGCCCAGGCTGGACTCAAACTCCTGGGCTTAAGGGATCCTCCTGCCTTGGCCTCCTGAAGTGCTAGGATTACAGGTGAGAGTCACTGCTCTGGCTTATTGGGTACCTTTAGGCCTGGAGCTCTGAGAATACAAATTGGCCTCTGGAAAAGGCTTGTCTCCGGAGGCTTGAGGATTTTTCTAAGCTGCTCAGATACTCAGAGCACCTGCTGTTTCCAAGATGTACTTGGCAAGAAGAGATGGGGAAATGTAGCATAAATACAACTAGATGAATGACAGGAAACGAAGCCAGGTGAGATGAACTCTCAGCTTATTGTTTGATTTTTTTTTTGAAAAATGCATTTAGAAGCCCAGTAAATCATCTTGTGGTGAAGCAGGAGGAATGCAGAAGTTTTGGAAGGGACTTGGCTTAGGAAGAAGGTTGTATAAATGGGTACCTCTGTTGACCTTGAGAAGGAATCCTAAAGAAAGTTGAGGTCATGGCTAAATGCCTTAAATCTGATACACATTGACTAAAAGATGGGTGTGTTCTGTGAGGTAGTTAATTAATTTCTTTTAAGACGTTTTCAAAAGCAATATATGTCCATTTTGGGAACATGAAAAATACTTAAAAAATAATTGCACATTTACCCCAGTGGGATTTTGTATATTTTCTTCTAGTTTCATAGGTGTGTGTATATACACATATACATAAATATATACATTAACGACTGGGCGTGGTCGCTCACACCTGTAATTCCAGCACTTTGGGAGGCCGGGGCGGGCGGATCACCTGAGGTTGGGAGTTTGAGAACAGCCTGACCAACATGGAGAAACCCCATCTCTACTAAAATTACAAAATTAGCCAGGTGTGGTGGTGCATGCCTGTAATCCCAGCTACTTAGAAGGCTGAGGCAGGAGAATCGCTTAAATCTGGGAGGCGGAGGTTGCGGTGAGCTGAGATCATGCCATTGCACTCCAGCCTGGGCAACAAGAGTGAAACTCTATCTCAAAAAAAAAAAAAATATATATATATATATATATATATATACACACACACACACACACACACACACATTTTAATATACATTTGACACACCAATACTCCTGCATAGAACATATATTACAATATTATATAGTTATAATTTCAAATGTTTATTCCTGTGATTACAAAAGCGTGTGTGTCTTTGTATATAGTAGAAAACTAGGAAAAGTATAAGGAAGAAATTTAAAATACAGTTGCTCCTTTACTTATGGGGGGCTATAGCCCAATAAACCTATTGTAAATCAGAAATATCCTAAGTTAAGAATACATTTAATGCCTTGATAAACCCATCCTAAAGCTGAAAAATTGTTAAGTGGACCCGCATTGTGGCGGGGACCATCTGTATCTGTATCCCACTGTGGGACGAGGCTATGTGGCAGCTGGTCTCCAAAGCCGACCCCTAAGGGACACACCTCCTGGTACGCACACCTTTATGTTGGTTCCTCTCCCTGAATCTGGGCTGGCACTGTGGCTTGTTTTGGCAAATGGGATGTAGTGGAAGTGATGCTGAGTGACTTTCAAGGCTGGGTCATAAGTGGCCCTGCCGTTTCAGCCCGGGTCTCCGGGAACACTCACCTTGGCAGACTTCATCTTGGACTCCAGCTGCCATGCTGGGATGGAGCCCCAGCCCCCGGGAGAGCCCACAGGAGCGCACTCAGTCTGACAGCCCTGCTGAGCGTGTGGCCGCGGCTAGCAGGGACTGCTGGCAACCTGTGTAGCCATCACGGTCAGCCAGCCAGGCTGAGCCTTTAGAGGCCTCCAGCCCAGCCACCATCTTACTGCCTTCACCCAAAAGACCCCCACAGTCAGAACCACCCTGCTAAGCCTAGTGGACGCACGGAACTGTCAGGGATAGTAATACACTGTTGTTTTAACCCACTAGGTTTTGGAGTGTTTCCCAGAAGTAGGTAACTGCACAGGGAGCGGGTGGATTTAGAGGTAATCCCTGTTTAAAGGGACCACGTTGAGGCAAAAGAGCTCAGACTTTGTGATGGGGGCGGGGGCTAACTTGCATTCCTGCTGTGTCACTCACTGGCCATGTGACCCTAGGCAGGTTAGTACAGGCCACCATGGACCCGAATTTTCAACATTTGCCAAATGGAAAGTGGGGGCCTTTCAGGTATTCCAGGGGCTGGCACACAGTAGGTACTAAGGAAATGTCAGTTTCCATGTGGCGATGTTTAATGATCGTGAGGAATGTTGCAGAAGAGGGCAGCTCTCAGTAGTAAGGCAGGTCCCAGCACCTCCCAGCCTCTGGTTCTTCTTCCATAGGTAGGGCCCTCTCTCGGCAGGGCCTGCCCATGCTTGCTGGGTGACTGGTGAACAGGGCTGCTGCCCTCAGGACCAGGGTAGGATGGAAGCAGCTGCAGCAGTGGCAGCAGAGAATATCTAGTGAAAAACCCTCCAGTATTGGCATTTTTGAAGCTGGGAAAGATACTATTTAATTCTGAACCTTCACATTTAGCATAGTGCTTGGCACATAGTAGGGATTTCGTGGCTTGCTTGGCTGGGCATGGGCGAGAACAACGCAGTAGGTGTATCTCCTGTGTCTGATGATATATTTGTGCTGTTCTGAGAACAAACAAGGTATGAGTGAGGGGCAAAGACCATTTCTGTTCAGAATCACAGCATGGTAGGACTGGGAGGGGTCTCAGACCGCACCCGTTTCAAACTCCTCATCCTTACAGTCTGGGACAGCTGGTGATGGCTTAGCCATGGTTGGATGCAGTGCCATAGCCAGGCCTGTGACCCACGGCTCTACCCCAGGGCCTAAAATCCCTCAGTTCACATTTTGCGGAATAATGTAGAGTCCATGTCAACAGTTGTTTGAAAAAACAAATAGAGGAAAGAGAAGGTGTTCTGGTGCTGCCTGTGATATGCAGTTATCGTTTCTTTATCCAGTGAGAGTGGACACTGATCCCGTAGCCTGGAGATTTTCCAAGAGGGTCACTGCTGTCTCAAATACTTGGATGATGGGCCCAAAGCTGCAGCCTCAGCAGCTCTGACATTTCTGCCTTGTTCAGTTCCCCTGCCTCAGGCACCACGGAACCTTCTGGTATTTGCATTTTGGGGAAAACCAGAAGGGACGAATATGCTTGGCACAACCTGCCATAAGTGGGTGATACCAGGAAGCTCTTCTTGGCTGAGCATGGGTGAGGTCAACACAATGGAGCAGAATGCCAGCTAATAAATGTGGAAGGAATGAAGGCATTGGAAAGTCACTGTTTGACAATCGACATAGTTATATATATATTGGAGATGGAGTTTTGCTCTTGTCGCCCAGGCTGGAGTGCAGTGGTATGATCTTGGCTCCCTGCAACTTCCACCTCCTGGGATCAAGTGGTTCTCCTGCCTCAGCCTCCCGAGTAGCTGGGATTACAGGTGCCCGCCACTATGCCCGGCTCATTTTTGTATTTTTAGTAGAGATGGGGTTTCACCATGCTGGCCAGGCTGGCCTCGAACTTCTAACTTCAGGTGATCCACCCGCCTCGGCCTCCCAAAGTGTTGGGATTACAGGTGTGAGTCACCGTGCCTGGCTCAACATAGTAATAATTTATTTAGACAAGAATCATCAATGGATGCTAAAACAAACAGGTAAGCATTTGTTAAGAAATGGGATATTGTCAGAGTCTTAAAGTATCACCCCACAAAATGTTGTTGTTACAAAGAGAAAAATGGTAGCTCGGCTGTGATCAAAGCTAACGTCATCAGTGATAGGACGGTCTGGCACTATGTGTCTGCCGGTGTGGCGCTGTGAGAACGCAGCATTGCTTCCGCGGCTTTCCTGACAAAGATGCACAGCCCGCTTCTAGTCAGGAGGAGACGTCAGGCAAACCCAGACTGAAGGACTTCTACCAAATAATTGACCCATGGCCCGGCGCGGTGGCTCACGCCTGTAATCCCAGCACTTTGGGAGGCCAAGGCAGGCGGATCACAAGGTTAAGAGATCGAGACCAGCCTGGCCAACATGGTGAAACCCCATCTCTACTAAAAATGCAAAAATTAGCCGGGCATGGTGGTGGGCACCTGTAATCCCAGCCACTTGGGAGGCTGAGGCAGGAGAATCGCTTGAACCCGGGAGGTGGAAGTTGCAGTGAGCTGAGATCATGCCATTGCACTCCAGCCTGGCAAAAGACTCCATCTCAAAATCAATAAATCAATAAATCAATAAAAAAGTGGCCCATATTCCCCAAATTGTCCTAAGTCCTAGAAGACGAGGAAAGACTGAGGAATCGTTTCAGATAGAACGCGTGGGGCAGCTACATGCAGTCTGGAGCCAGGAACTGTGTTTTTGTCTTTGGACAACTGACACATTTTGAATAGGACTGTGGATGAAATGGTATTGGGTTGTTACTGCTAGTGTCCTGACTTTGATGTCATACTGTTGTTATGAAAGAGAGTGTCCTTGTTTCTTAGGAAGTGCACGCTGAAATATTTATGAGTTAAAACCTTGTTTTCTCTTTCTTTTTTTGCACTCAGCTGCATTCTGTCAGTGTGGTGCATTGTATTTTATGTCTTTAAATTAAAATAACTCAAATGTTATTTAATTAGAAGAAAAACTAATGATTAAGTGAAATTAAAATTTAATTAAAATTGGGAAATAGATTAATGAGTGCTTAAGTGCAGTTTGGTAAACAGAATCTTTGCAATGATGGAGTCCGCTGTGGGAGGTGACTAAGGGGGTTTCTTAGTGGTGAAATGTGTGGGGACGTCTGCTCCATGAGGCGGGGAGAGTCTGTATTTCCAGTGAAAATTGGAGCCTGGATTCTCAGCAGAGGGGCCAATCCTGTGACTTCCCTGCCTTCCTGTGTCATTCTTATCAGACTCATATCAGGAGGGGCTCCTCTCAGCCTCGGCAAACAGAGATGAAAGCAATGAAACTTCAAGTGTCAGGGAGGAGGCAGCTCGAGAGTGGGGACAGTAAGCCCTGTGTGTGAGGATTTGATGCAGCAAAATATGTGAAGTGCGTAGCCCAGTACCTGAGAGGTAGGTACTTAATTATCTCCTAGATGATAGATCGTCCATCTTTTTTAGAAGATGTAGTATAAACAGTGGTAATAGAACATGACATTTTGTCAGGAGTTCTGGCTCAGGAGACAGGAAAGCTGAAGAGCCATTTGACCATTGGCTAGTCAGTTTGCAAACTGTCACAGGGTGAAAGATGTTTGCTACTGAAAAGATTAAGGCCATATTTTTTCCTCCTGCTAGAATAGGTCAGAGAGGTATTTCCGGATTCATAAAGTGGAGAAACTTTTTTCTTTGCTGTGATGTGGGTTTCTAGCACATGGGATGATGTGGCGCCATTCTTTCCACAGCCCTCCATGGTCCCAGGGAGAAGTCAGGCGCTGTGGCTGGGGTTGGTCATCTTCCCCTCGGTGAGAAGCCGGCTGTTCTCTGCCTGGTCCCATTTGCCTTTCCTGGGAGAGGATCTCAGGAGTCTGTGCCTCTCTCTTGGTTGTAGGTGCTTCCGCTGTACTTGGCTAGAGGAGGCTGAGGAAACCCTGTCGAGGGCGGTGGGAGGCTGGAGAGCACCACCTGAGAGGGATGAGTCTGCTGGGGGAGAGGAACAGAGACAGGGTAACTCCAGGAAAGAGTGGCGGATCCATTGTTCACAATGGGGAGAACTGCTGCCAGAATATAGAGACCTTCATGTTAGAGACATGAAAGAGGTAGCCAGGGTGCTAGAACTTGAAAACAAAATGTTTTCATGTTTACACAGGAAGGCAGGGAAGTCACAGGACTGGCCCCTGTGCTGAGAATCCAGGCTCCGATTTTCAGTGGAAATAGACTCCCCTTTTCACGGAGCAGAAGTCCCCACACATTTCACCACCAAGAAACCCCCTTGTCACTTCCCATAACGGACTCCATCATTGCAAAGGTTCTATTTACCAAGCTGCACTTCAGCACGAGTTAATTTGTGTTTGCTTAGGCATCGTAGCCAAGGACCCACAGATAAGCGTCCACGTCCATCACGAAATGTGTTTTCAGTGTCAGAATGGAACAAGGTGGTGGTCACACAAGACGTTGGCCATCAGAAACAATTTCGGGAGGTGTCAGCCGTCTTGGTATGGGTACCCCAAAGTGAGGCATCCTGCTCACAGAACTCCTTGGGCATTGCAGAAACAGTTGTGGGGTTGTGATCCTACTCTGAGGGTCTGTAGCTTGCTGGGATCTGGCCATCTCTGGCCTGGTCCTCCTTGCTAATGACCGTGCCTGGATTCCAAGGGACCCAGTGGGACACAAACGCAGGGAAGCAAGGCAGGGAACGAAGTATGAGGCAGGGGACAGGGGACAGTAGTCCTTCAGGATGGCAGCCCAGGGCTGGCAGGCTTGGATCCTGTTGCTGGACCAACTGGGGACAGCTAAGGGCTGAGCAAAGGTCTGGAGGAGAGCAAGCAAGAGTCTTTACAGAAACACAGCAGCGACTCCACTGCAGCAAGGAGGCTCCATGAACAGGGAAAGGGGATCTAGATGTGGGGCCGATGACATGGAATTAGTCCCCATCTTGCCACTAGTGATCTTGTGACCATAACAACACCTAATCTCTTTGGGCCTCTATTTCTTGATCTGTAGAGTGGGTGTAGTTACTTCTTGCCTTCTGTGGAAGTACTGCGAGTTCCTGCTCTATGTCAATTCTCTCCTTTTTAATTTACAACCGAATCCCATTTATCTGGGGGTAACCTTATGCCCATGAAAGAATGCGTTTCATAGCTTTCCTTGTAGCTAAGTGTGACCATGTGACTAAATTGTGTGTAGTGAGATATGAGAAGAAACGTTAAAGACTTCCAGGAAAGATGCTTAAAGAGTCTGCCTCATTGCAGGACGCAAGGTCAGGGTGTCCTTTCTCTTTGGTCCTTTCAGTTGCCTGGAATGCAACCAAGTTGGCTAGAGCCCCAGCAGCCCCCGTCTTGCACCATGAAGTACCTTGAGGATGGAAATGAGATCAAGGATAACAAAGGAGAAAAGCAGAGGTCGTCTGCGTCTTTGATGACTTCATGGAGCAGCCGTGCCCTCCGTGGATGGCTTAGTCATGCTCTTCTCTGTGTTGAAACCGTTGCTACTAGAGGTATTTTGTGTTATGCAGTTGAACCCAATCCACATGGATGCACCTGCCCCCTAGGGTTGCTGTAAGGATTCAGTGAGTAAAGCATGGGAAAGAGTTTTATGGGCTGGGAATGCACTTCGAACATTACAACATGCCGTAGAAATATAAGGAATTAGTCCTGTCATTGTCATTGCCATATGAATCAATGGAAGGGGCAAGGCTGCAGTGGACAGGCCCTGACAAGATGCAGGGCCAAGGGCAGGAGCAGGTGTCAGGGGACAGTGTGGGGATGAGGAGCTGCAGGCAGCAGGATGGAACCTTTGTTAGTTTACCTAGTTTTAGACTGAATCCGTAAGGTGGCATGGGCTCAAATGCCACTCAAGAGGGAGAGAGCGGTTGGAAGATGAGATTAGTAACAAGAGCCCATAATTCTGATGAAGAATCTCAAAATGGAGAATTTGGAAAGTTGCACTGTGACAGTTTGGGCAACCAGTGGTATCTGTATCATTATTTTCAGAAAACACCTGATAATTCTATCCAAAAAGGATTGCTTTCTACAGCTTCCACCCCTGGGGGTCTCTGAAAAAAAGCCCGTTAGCGAAGAAGGAAGACCAAGCACCGTCAGTCTAACTGTTGTGAACAGAGTCCAAATGTGTTCCTACCTCAAATAGGAAAGAATTTAAGCTTTTGGAGACAAAAACAAACAAACAAACAAAGTGGTTATAGCAGACACTAGAGAGATGTAAACTGTGGAAAGGCCAGCAGGAACCGTGGACATCCATACCATAGACATGGAAGATTTTCAGATCTCAGATTCCGTTTCCCCTGTGTGTTGAACGACATCAATCCGTAGCGTGCGCTATCACTTCATACTGGCAATAGAAGTGAGAGGGAAACTTACATTGGGTGTCATACGTGCTGTCTTACATAAGTCCCCCAAATTTTTCAGCCAAGTTCAAAATAAATTCTGTCCTATCCTAAAGGATATGATTGATACCTCTTCGGAGAAGGTGCTGAGGAGGAGGAAGGAGACTCATGTTACACTGTTGCTGAAGCAGAAACTGTGTCTTCTCATGATAATTTGTTTGGTCCACAGAACAGGAGCTGGGCGTCATAAACAGCGCCATGGCTGAGCCGTAGCTCACGCTGTTTTTCATGCTTCGTTTTGAGAGGGGGCGAGTAAGGCTGGAAGAAAGTTTGTTGTACAGCGAATATATGCAACTGGCTGTGGTTATTCATTGCAATTTCCTGAACCCAAAACCTTTTACCAGAGCTGCTAACAGGTTGCATAAATCACTCTATGAACTCTGTTTCCTTTCTCCCCCGCACCATCCGAGGAGGGGCAGGCTGCTAATGTGGAAAACAGAGATTAGCACAGTGAGAGTCAGGGCCTTCCTGTCTGAGCAGAGCCTGCAAAGCTGAGCTCTGGCCGTATCCTGGCCGCCCAGGAGCTCGGAAGGCAGGGCCGCGTGGGCAGTGAAGAGCAGGCACCAGGCTGTCGGGCCCAACAGGCTTGGGGTTTCGAGCCCTACCACTGACCAGCTGTGTGATCTTGGATTATTATACTTCTCGATTTCCTCATTTGTCAAAGGGAATTTTTTTTTTTTTTTTTTTTTTTGAGACAGGGCCTCATTCTGTCACCCAGGCTGGAGCACAGTGGTGCGGACACAGCTCACTGCAGCCTCGGATTCCTGAGCTCAAGTGATCCTCTTGCCTCAGTCTCCCAAAGTGCTGGGATTACAGGCATCAGCCACCACACCCAGCCAAATAGAAATAACGTTAATCTCAGGGCCGGGTGTGGTGGCTCACACCTGTAATCCTAGCACTTGGGGAGGCCAAGGCAGGCGGATCACCTGAGTTCAGGAGTTCGAGACCAGCCTGGCCAACATGGTGAAACCCTGTCTCTACTAAAAATACAAAAATTAGCCGGGTGTAGTGGCGTGCGCCTGTAGTCCCAGCTACTCAGGAGGCTGAGGCAGAAGAATTGCTTGAACCCGGGAGGCGGGGGTTGCAATGAGCCAAGATTGCGCCATTACACCCCAGCCAGGGCAACAGAGTGAGACTCCATCTCAAAAATATATATATATATATATATATTTTATATATATTATATATATTATATATTATATTTTATATATATGTATCTCATAGAGTATTTAGATGATTCAGTGAGTATAATGCATTGATACAAGTTGGCTATTGTCATTAAAAGCTTCTTTTCAACTTTTGTGGCATAAAACCCTTTCTTCCAGAAGTTTCTCTATTGGTCCCTGTCAATGAAAGGGAATCCCAATAGTCTTCATGCTTTTTGGAGATGAGGGTCTTGCGGGAGGGGGTTGTGATTGGGGGTTCTGTCCATGAAGCCCCAGCCACTGTACAGAGATGACCTGGAGTTGTCTGCTGTCTTCACTCTTGATGTGGAAGCATTTCTGGCTCATAAAGACAATAGGACTTTAAAAGGGACTTCAGAGATGTCTGAAGGCTTTTCTCAGAAATGTGCGGTGGATCAAGCAAACTATCGAGTGAGGCAAATCTGTAATTGCTCTCCACCCGGAGCCTTTTTTGCTGAGTTGTCTTAAATTACTGAAACTCTCTGAGCACCAGATTCCTCATCTGAAACTGGAAGATACTAACAGCCACCTCGAGGAGGCATGATGGAGGTTCATGGGCTGAGTCCATGCAAAGCCTTCCCAGGGCCTGGCACACAGACATCCTTTCCCTGCTCCTAGAGGGTGAACATTTGGTCAGGCTGGGGGAGCCCCTAGGATCTGTGCCCAAGGCCTGGGACCCTTGGCATGTTCCCTTTCTTCCTTCATAGCCCCTGTTCCTATAGTGAGCCAACTGCCCTGTGGCCGGGCCTTGTACTGGGAGGGAGATGGAGAAGAGCGCTTTGACAGAGAAATGTCCAGCTCAGAAGCGACCCAAGTTTCTGTTGGATGTGAGATCCACCACTGCCAATTCCAACCACACATCCTGTTGGGGACACAGCCTGGGTCTGTGTGTCGCGGGGGCAGGCCCTCTACCACATGCTCAGACCCTCTACCACATGCTCAGACCCTCTACCACATGCTCAGACCCTCTGTCACATGCTCAGACCCTCTGTCACATGCTCAGACCCTCTGTCACATGCTCAGACCCTCTGTCACATGCTCAGACCCTCTGTCACATGCTCAGACCCTCTACCACATGCTCAGACCCTCTGTCACATGCTCAGACCCTCTACCACATGCTCAGACCCTCTACCACATGCTCAGACCCTGTCACATGCTCAGACCCTCTGCCACATGCTCAGACCCTCTACCACATGCTCAGACCCACTACCACATGCTCAGACCCTCTACCACATGCTCAGACCCTCTGCCACATGCTCAGACCCTCTGCCACATGCTCAGACCCTCTACCACATGCTCAGACCCTGTCACATGCTCAGACCCTGTCACATGCTCAGACCCTCTGTCACATGCTCAGACCCTCTACCACATGCTCAGACCCACTACCACATGCTCAGACCCTGTCACATGCTCAGACCCTCTGCCACATGCTCAGACCCTCTACCACATGCTCAGACCCTCTGTCACATGCTCAGACCCTCTGTCACATGCTCAGACCCTCTACCACATGCTCAGACCCTCTACCACATGCTCAGACCCTCTGTCACATGCTCAGACCCTCTACCACATGCTCAGACCCTCTACCACATGCTCAGACCCTCCAGTGCGGGAAGCCAGCCTGGTCTGGCTGATGGAGCACAGGGGAACTGTCCTGTCCCATGGGCCTCAAAACACCTCCTCTGGGGTCAGGATCCTCTCACTGTTAGGGGAAGTCTCCACCCCTTTCAGTTGCCCTTTGGCTCCCGCCGGCCAGAGGTGCTACTGAACAGCGATTTAAAAACACCAGAGTATGATAAGGCAGGTGGCATATTGCTGCAATATTTCAAAGTGGACAATGGGAAAATGAGCTCCCTTTCCAGGCAGCTGCTTCCAGGTCCCCAGCCTCATGACGCTGGAGTCACATAGCTTAATGCTGTCATAATTTCCCCTTCTCCCTAAACCCTCTCCCAGTTAGTGGAATTTGGGCTGACGCTCTGCAGTGAAAGCCCTCTAAAGTGTTATAAATATTTATCTCTGCAAATCTCTGAGGCCTTTTCAAAACAGAAAGACAGAGGAGGTGCTTGCGTGGTTCACCTGCCCCTCCCTGAAGGCCTGTTGTGTTTCCCAGGATGGTAGGCACCGTGCTTACCTGAGCATGTCTTTTCTTTGCACCATTTCTTGATCTATTTTGTTGCATGTTGCTTTTTGTGTGTTAAGATGTGTCTGCCAAGAATTGCTTCCGGGGATAGGAGAAAGCAAAGGAGAGGACAGAAGGCTCACGTTTTTTTTCTTCTGGAATTTTTTTTCCTTTTGTTGTTTATTTTTGGGTATCATTAATTACTCACTCTGGGTTATAATTCCACCCATGGTCAGATGACATGCTTGTGGCTGGTTTAATTGGATGCTGATGATGAGCTGAGTTGGCCCAAGCCATGTACTGGGAGGGAGATGGAGAAGAGCGCTTTGGCAGAGAAACGTCTGGCTCAGAAGCGACCCAAGTTCCTGTTGGATGTGAGATCCACTACCGCCAATTCCAGCTGCACATCCCCTTGGGAATGTTGGTTTGAAAATCTCCCAGCTGGTACTGGGGCCGTGCATGTGGCCCTCTCTGGTGTAACTGTACAGAGGTATCGGCCGCCAGCCAGGCCTCAGACCCATGCAGAAGGCGTAGGTGTTCTCAGCCCTGAAGGCAGTCTGCTGGACAGCCAGGAGCTCCTGAGGAGTGCTGCCAGGGCTGTGGCGGCGATGGTGGTGACAGGGTCTTGGAGGTCTTGAAAGCTACACCTTTAGCTTGTACTCACTCGTCTTCTTGCTGATATTTTCATGGGGTGATGCAGATACTCCACGAGCTAGTTGTGTTGGGTGCCCGTTTAGTCTTGTGCACACCCTTTGGTCCATTACACAATGCTCTGTGTTCTCTAGGAGTTTATGGCCCGTGTTGGGAGTGGGTTGGAGGTGATGGGGCTAATAAACACAAGAGCATTAGCTAGGGAGTCGGGAGACCTGGGTTCTGAGATCAGCTTTGTCACCTAGCTTGAGTGTAATGCCTGACAGGTCTCTCTTTTTGGGCCTCAGTTTCCTCATCTGTAAAATGGGTAGAGGTGCCTCAGTTATAACCAGGCTTTTCAGATCTGCCATGCTAGATCATTCTTTTTGTTGTATTTTCTCAAGGTTTGGACGTGGTGGACATTCAGCCAGCCTGGGGTGCTGGCCGTTCTTGTGAGTCTTGTAGATGTCTAGTCTTCCTTTTTCTCAGACATTTTTCCTCATGATTTACAGGTTTCATGTCTTCCTGGCATTGGGGGCAGTTATCTCAGTCATGTATTCCTTACATTTCGGTGGGCCTACTGCTGTCATTTCAGCTCTCCTCCAACCAGCATCTTCTCTGTGATGTCGCTTCCATGGATCAGTCTCATTCTGTCCTCACAATGCCTTCAGTGTTCTGTGTAACCCTCTTGCCCCCACGTATTTCCCACAGAGACACAGCTACATTAAGGACCAGAGGCCAGAGGAACAGGCCCCTTTAGAAACCTCATCCTAATGAATTCCAGCATTCCTAGGAAGCATCTTTCTCTTCAACAGTGACATTTACAACCTGGCGCCTTATTTCATAATTACATAAAGGGGCTAACCTCCTGGACAGGTGCCTGCACGACAGGGCAGGCTGCTCAGGGGCCTGCTGGCCTCTGGGAATAGAAGGGCGTGGCCTCCCATCTCAGTCGTTCTACATGGGTGTGAAGGGGTCACTTTGTGCTGGAGTTGCCGCCTGTCTCCCTCCTAGTCAGTGGAGCTCACCTGGTGAAGTGTTACCAACTTGAAGCTAGCCCTTCCTGGAAGGTGCTTTAGGAAGGAGGAGTTGTAAATAACATCGAAGCAGCTCAGATTCCGGTGTCTTAGGCCTATGTAGGACGTTTCTGGGTTTACTCCCAGCTGGTCCCTAAAGTGCAGGGGAAGTGCTCAGGTTTACTGACGGGTATTTGAAGACAAGATTAAGACGCTCATCCAGAAGCATCTGATGGTCCTGAGCCCCGCCCTCCCAGCACATTCCCATTCTCAAGGAGACAGGTGTGCAGGTGGCCGTGACCAGAGGCAGCCATGTGGGGAGCACAGAGCAGGAAGCCATGACTCCTGCAGGGCCTGTCTGGGGTGTTTAGACTGCTTCTTGCAGAATAAGAAGGGTTTAGATGGCCTTGAAAGAGAGAGCACCTGTAGCAGGTGGTGGGCTTTCGATGTGATGATTGACAGGCTGACTAAATGCCTGGCTGTTCCTCCCATCAGGAGTTTCTTCAGTTACAGCAAAATTATCCCAAATTCCTTAAATTGCCTTCCCATAAATTCTACATTTGGCCAGTGTGGTGCTCTGCTCCAGAATTCTGTTCCTCAAGTCACTAGGGTCCCTGTAACACTGTCCATAAGCTATTTCCCACACAAGGCACAGGAGAGCCTCCCCATTTTAGCAATGGAATAGCTGAGGTTTGGAGAAGTAACTTTCCCTGGGTCACAGGCTCAATCAGCAGCAGAACTGGATTCAAGTTGCACTCACGTGTTCTGATTCCCAGGCTGCGTACCAGGAACTTGCTCTCACCACTTCATCACTGAACCCCGTGCCCCCACTCTTTGGACCTCCCACAGCCACTCTTCGATTTCAGGCTTCCGCACTGGCCTCTCCCCCTATTTTTTGCAACTCACGTGTCTCTCTTGAGGGCAGGGTCCTGGTCAGCCTGGTGCCCGGCACAACACCTAGAATCCCGGCCAGGCTGGGCTGGGTGAAGGATGGGGGAAGAACCTTCACCAGTGCCTCCTCCTGCACGTCTAGCCTGGAGTCATCTGGAGGCCATGGAAGCAGGCAGCTCTTAGGTGCCAGGTGATTGTGACATTGAAGAATTTGGGCTCATCCTGTCTTTTAGGCAGTGGATTAAAAACACAGTGGTATCTGAGATCATTCAGCTGTTGTGCTCTGTCAGCAGCTTCACTTGACACACATCTGGGTTTGCAGAACGCGCTGATAAAGGCCTGAGGCCATAATGTTTTTTACCTCTGTCTTGTGTGGGTCATTTACCACCTGTGCTCCAAAGAGGAAACACCTGGATACTTTGAGTGTTTTTTTTCTTTTTTTGAGATGGTGTCTTGCTCTGTTGCCCAGGCTGGAGTGCAGTGGCACAATCTCAGCTCACTGCAACCTCTGCCTCCCGAGTTCAAGCAATTCTCCTCCCTCAGCCTACTGAGTAGCGGGAATTACAGGCGCCTGCCATCACGCCCAGCTAATTTTTGTATTTTTAGTAGAGACGGGGTTTCACAATATTGGTCAGGCTGGTCTCGGACTCCTGACCTCGTGATCCACCCACCTTGGCCTCCCAGAGTGCTGGGATTACAGGCGTGAGCCACCGTGCCTGGCCCGCTTTGAGTTTTATGTAGGGAAGTAGGGCGTCCACATAAGGTATCATCCAAATGAGATACTTTTGAGAGTGAAATGGTGCACAGTTAACAGTCACATCAGGACAGCAGGCTGACGCTGGAGCGTGTGGTCGCCTAGTTTTAAGCAAAATGGATGTCTGCAGTTGGAAGAAAAGACACGGCAGTCGTTTGTGAAGACTAATAGTGCGGAGGGGTTGCTGGTAGATAAAGGCCTTTTGTTCCAGCGGTAACTTTGCATCATTCACTGACAACAGTAAGAGTCCAGTGCCCTTGTCTCTGCCCTCCGCGTCGTTTTCTGTCCGTGGCCGAGCCTCCCGGGAGGTATGCCTGTGTCTCATTGTCCTTTTCTCTTTCCCTCAGAGATCCTGCGGCTCATTCAGCTGGACCTAGACCTGAAGTTTAAGACCAACATCCGGGAGTTGTTTGAGGAATTTGACAGTTTCCTGCCAGGCGCCATCATTGGCCTAGCCCGGGAGATGCAGCCGGTTTACAGGTGCGTCATGACTGCGGGGGGGCCACCTCCGCGACCCTCCCCGCCCTCCACCCTCTCTGTTCTGCCACCCATGGCAGACGGGGATTTACTGGCGTCCCATCCTTCTGCACTTGGTGTCTCGGGCACACATTTGTGCTTGTTGCTTGCAGTTGACAGTATGGGCAGGTGGGTCTGTCCCAAGCCGTAGGTGCTACCTCGTTATTTTGGGGGAGTTTGTGGCCTTTTTCTTCGGAAAAGCCCAGTTGTTTGGTTGTTGGATCTGGTTAAGTTCAGAATTTTAAAACCTCGGGCTTTGTCTTACGGAGGAAGATTTAACTTCCCTTCTAGTGACCAACTGGGCTTTCTTGGCCCCTGAGTCACCAGTGACCCCTATTCTCCACGAGCAGAGTGGGTGGACTGGTGGTCTTGTAGGGCGGGAGGGCGGCGCAGCGTTGGAACACAGACTGGCGTCAGTCGTCAGCACGAAGAAGCACATTCCAGGGGATGCCGCGTTTGGTTGTCAAGCGTGTGTCGTTGAGAAACTCCAGGACCTGAGAACCGTTCTCGAACAGTCACTGTAGCGCTATTTGTAGTAGCCAAAACTGAAAACGACTGAAACGTGCTACTTAGCGGAACGGATAAATGAAACGCATTCGTTCAATGGAGTGCTATACAGCCACGGCAAAAAAGGGAACGGCTCTGCGCGATGAGAGCGAAACTAACCTGGAGGCTTTAGGGATGAACGCGCAGGTGCGGAGAATGGGAAAGGAGAGCCAAGGGGGCGATGCCTCCCAGAGCCTGCGTGGCGGGCGGTGGGGGAGGTGGGGCTCGGTTGGCTCTGGAGAGCCGCAAGGTCTTATTTCCTCGCTTGGGTGTTTGGCTTCATGTTTGCGTGCCCTTTTTTGTATGTTCTTGTTCTACATCTTACAATTAAAAAATAAAAAAAAAAAAAGGAAAGGAACAGCTGAGGCGGGTTTTGATTAAAGCAAACCAGGCCCGTGGCCCTGGGTCTGAGAGTTCCACGTTGCTGGCTGTTTCTCCAGCGGGTAGAGCGACAGTGCACCCAGAGCAGAGCTGCCCGAGTTTGCACGGAAAGAGCTGGAGTTCGCCGTCCCGCAGGCAGGCCCCGCTCTTTGTTCTCAGTGCACACCATGATGCTGGCTCCCTGCAGACCCTCCTGGAGGGAGGCCCAGTCGTTGGAGAGCTGCAGAGTACAGGCCACCAGTGAGTCAGGAGCCTGTGTTTCCCTCAGAGGGAGGGGTGAAGACGCAGCTTCAGCTTGGTTGTGGCTATTTGCATGACCCAGATCACATAACAGGAAATTCCTGCAAGGCCCCTGAATGAGCTGATAACTCCTTGGGCCGTGTGGACTTTTCTCCCTTATATAATCCTCTCACGTGTTGCCCCAGAGTCACTGGGTAGGCCTCTCCCTCTGAGGTCAGGGGTTGGCGACTTAAGAGGAGAGGGTTTGGGCAAACATCTGCCATCTTAACTGTAGAAGACTCCCCACCTTCTTCCCCCTCCCTTCTTTCCCGGGAAGATCTTCTGCTGGGGCCCTTGATCCAACAGAGGGAGGTGATAGTGTTCACAGCGGTGAAGCCATATGGGGGTCTGCAGCACCCTCACTTCCTGCCTCCTCAGAAGAAAGAATTTGATGGAGGGGCCTCAGGCAGAGTGAGAGACCAAGGCAAGTTTTAGAGCAGGACCCAAAGTGTATGAAAAAGCTCTAGACCAGGAATGAAAGGAAAGAAAGTACGCTTGGGAGAGGGCCAGTGGGTGACTTGGGAGATCGAACGTGCTGTGTGACTTTCGACTTGGAGTCTTACACAGTGGCGTGGTTCTTGGGTGTGCGTTACTCCTCCCGTGGTTCTTCCCTGAGGGTGGCCTGCCAGGTGTGCTTACTGAGGTTGTGCACACACTCCCTGAAGCCGTTCTTCCCTGACCAGTCCAGCCTTCCTAGACAAGGGGCCACCATTTTGCCTCCTAGTGCCCATGCTTGAGCCCACGTGCCCAGCTCCTGAGATCTTACCAGGAAGCTGCTGGTCATCAGTTTCAGGTTCTTTCTATCTGTTGGGACCCTGCCTTTCCCTGGCACTGGCTGCAACCAATTATCACTTTAGAGCGACAGTTTACAACTGCCTGACCATCAGCTGACGGTCACCTAACATTCCTGGTGGTGGTGGAGCCCTCTCCTGCCCTGCTCGTGTCTGACTAGCTACCTACTGTAACAACAGAGGGAGCCTCAGAGCCCCAAGCCCTAGATACTAGTCCCAGCTCTGCCTCCTTGGGCCTTTGTTCCCCTACCTGAGAAGGAGAAGAGCTGAGCTCTAAGTCCCCCCTTCCTTGGCTCTGGCACTGAGGGTCACAGCCCTTTGGACCCTCATTGTCCTGCCTCTGTCTGGAAGTTACCTGTCTGCTGGTGAGCTCTTTAGGGATCAGAAAGAACTGATATCATGGGATATTTAAACTGGGCTGAGTATTAAATGCAGTTACAGCTCCAGTGCCTTCAAGGTCTGCTTTGGAATCTTCTCACGTCATATAAGTGGAAACTTGGAAACCCCATCATGCTTAGACAGGATGGGCCAGAATTTGTGTTTTCTGTAGATCTAGGATTTTATAAACAGTGCGTCTTAAAATCAGTTTAATTGTCTGGACTTCCCGAAAGAAAGCTCTGAAAGATTTGAGATTCAAAATGAAACCGAGTTTTTCTAACCTTGAGCATCTTTAATGTTCATTATGTTATGATAACGATGAGACTCCGCTGCCGCAGAGTCCGAAGAATGCCGTTTGCAGGGCCGGGGCCCTCAAACATCAACAGAGACTTACACTCCTTTACGTGCTGCCTCTGTCCACCCCTCAGCTGAAATGCTTCGAGAGACCTTTAGTCTCTGGAACTGAGTCTGCAGATGACTGCCCTGCACTGCCGTGTGCCCCGCTGGCTCTGGGGAATTGCCTGGTAACATTTGCAGTCTCATGCTGGGGCTGGGAATGGCTTGGTACTGGCTGGTCGACAGGGAATTGAGCGTGGTTTTTGCCTTCTTCAGTCTTCTTCAGAAGACTGGGGAGCTCTGGGGACCTGGGAGATCCAGCGTTAGTTGTCTGCTGCTTTGGAGTGTTCACCTGGCTGGCAGTGGGGCTCGGGTGGGGAGGCTGAGAGAAGGAAGAGGATGGGAATGGAAAGGGAGAGAGGAAGCAGGGACAGGGCAGCCAGCCTCTCTCTTGAGCAGGCAGTCTGAGCCCCTGGGCTCGGCCGTTGCTGTTTTGGGGGATCCGCAGCCCGGCCGTCAGACTGCCTCCCACAGAGGTGGCCTCTTACCCCTGCCTGGGACTTCCATGGAACTGGCAGTGGGCTCTGACCACCAACGGGTCTGTCTCCCCAGAGAGGAGAGTGAGGGGGACAAGCGTTTTATTTTAAGAAGAACATGCTAGCATCTATATGAAAGGAAAATTTAAAAACAAAACAGCACGAAACCAAATCTTGACTAGGTAAGCAGGCACATTTTGACCTGGAAACTTGCTGAGCAAGAACAGATTTGGATCTTCCCAGCTGTGTCATTTTTACAGTCACTTGTCCCATAGTTATTTTACCTCAAAATCGCACATTTTAAGTCATTTTTTTATGGCAGTCTCCCCTGTGTTGTGTGCCATGAATGTTAGAAGCTTGGAGGAGGTGGGGGAGGAGAAGTTATTCCCCATTGTCCATTTGACAAATAGTTTTTTTCACATTGTTTCACAATCCCCACCCCCCCCCCAATTTTTATATTTTCTGTATAAATCTTACAGGATTTTGTAATCCTAGACCCATGGGACTGACAGTATTTTCTGGAAAGGGACACGGGGATCATGGGATATTAGTGCAGGGAGAGAGAAGCCTTTCTCTCTTGGGTCCCTGTTGAGATTCTGTTGCGTCCAGCATCCCGTGACCTTCCCCATCTGCAGATCATAGTGCCGTCGTCATCTCGGGCGGAACGTCGCCCTTCCTTTCTCTGACCTTTTCTCTGTCTCTTCCTCAGGAGCTAAACCCCTGGACAGGTCCTCAGTGCTGATGTGTTTAGTTGGGATAAGTGGCCAAGAGGAGAATCTAAAAGGCGACTGTATTTTGTAAAGATGCGCCATTTTGAATTTGTTTCCTTATGAAAGTATTAGAAAAGTAAACTGCCGTGCCCTGTTTGTGTGCAGCCGATAACCATTATAAAGGTGCGCCAGCAGGTGAAGAAGCTTCATGTGGAGGAACCAGCATCGGGTCGTACTCAGAAGTGAA